ACAAATTAGGAAGAAAGGTCTGGTGATCTACTTTTGAAAACCCTGTGGATCATAGTGGTCCAATGTGCAGCCGATTATGGCAATCAATGGTCCAGGCATTTTGTTTCCCGGTACATGGGATCACCATGAGTCAGGAGCCAAGTCAATGGAAGCTAGAAGCAACCACCATTCACTAGCTATTTGACCTTCAAAACCCACTGTCATTGAGCCAATTCCAACTCATCGTGACCCTACAGGACAGAATAAAACTGCCTATAGTGTTTCCAAAGCTTTAAATCTATACAGAAGCAAATTGCCTCATCTTTCTACTTTGGAGGTGCTGTTGGGTTTGAATTACTGACCTTTTTGTTAGGATACCTATGCTTTAACCACATCACCACCAGAGCTGATACGTGACTTTTACTCCCTGTAATAAAGTCCAATTCCTGACTGGAGCCTAGCTGTGCCTCCCTGTCTCTTTCTCCTCATACAACTCTCCCTCTTGTCCCCTCTGTTCCTCATTTAGACTAAGCTTTTTCCTGCTCACTGCCTTTGTGCTTTCTGTTCTTTTTGCCTAAAACACCTTTCTTCAGGTTTTCTCCCTCAGGTCTCAGATAAAATGTCACCTCCTCAGAGAGACCTGTGTGAGAATGCTATCTAATGTCCCAAAGAAAACAGGAAGAAAGAAAACATAGTATTACAAGAAGGAAAATAAGAAAAAGGTGGAATTAATTCACAAATCCAAAAGTTGGTACTGTGACAGAAGTAAACCACATAACAACCTTCTGAAAAATCTAAGCAAGGAACAAAAGATATACAACAAACAGCACTAAGAAGCTATTCTTAAAAAAGTGCAACAGCAACTCCCAGCCTCTCAGCTAGAGGCCTTACATTTTCTCAGTATCAGGGGTTGGGTTTGGGGCAGGGCATGCTGGTAAACATTCTTATTTCATTCCACCAGTCCCAACCCTTTTTCTATTTTCTTTCCAGATATGTATTTAATCTTCCCGGTTCAAGCATTTAACTTTCCCACACTCCTCCTTGATTGCAGAACAGGGGAGTCAAAACTACAATGCAGACTGATTATAATTGCATGCTAACCAGAACCTAGGTTACTTCGAGGTCAACTACACATGTCCTGTGAGGAAATGTCCGAGGAAAGTCATTTTTATAATTTTAGGGTTTTGTCCTCTTCTGCTTGGCTGCATTTCTTCTGAGGCCTTAAAGTCTGCACTTGTGGTTCCAACTGTACGAAGTTTGAAGCAGCGACCCACTTCCCTTTGGTAACTCCCTAACACAACTAGGGGCTTGAATTATTCTAACATGGAGAAATATTTGTAAGGAACAAAGAAATTATTTTTGTAAAGAAGATGATGAATTTTTTTCAAAAGGTCAAATATGCAAACATCAATTTTCTCTGCTCCCCAGGAGTATCCTCCATGACTGAAACCCGCCTTTCAGTTCATCTTCATATTGAAGAAAATGTACGCTTTTCTCTAGAGGGGAAAGAAGGACAGCGGTGGCCAGATCCAAACACAAGGAGGAGCCACTGAGCCCCACGGGCAGGCGTTGGAACCTTCTGTTCCCGCACGGAACGCCTTCCCTGAGCACCGCGTGGCCCAGACACCGGAAGTGAAATGTGTCTTCCCCGCAGCCGTTCCTGCGAGATGCCAGCACGGCCGCCGCAGCCGCTTTCTGCGTAGCGAGCAGCGAGGACTGACCTGCGTCTCCTGGTGTGAGATCAGGTAACGTTTTGTGTCCCTTCGCTGTTCAAACTGGTGGTTCTCAGCCCGCAGCGTCCGCCTCACCGGAAGTTGGTGAGAAATGCGGAGTCGGGCCGCGTGGATGCCGGGGGT